CCTGGGGGGTCCATAAATGGTGCTGGACTTTTCTCCCATGCTTTGAGATGAAGAATGGCAATGGCCATGCTGAATCAGTACCTAATGAGATGACACATAGTCATTACAGATCTGCACAGAGACTGCCTTTAATGCACTGGGTCTCCCTTCACCCTGTAATCGGCTCCTGCCTGCAGTGGATGGTGGGGCTGCGTTGGGAGGTCTTTGTCCCCTCACCCCTCCACCCCACTAAAACACGGTCCCACAAAGTCCTTGCAAATGCCACCTCCCACCTCTCTTGCAGCAGGCACTGAACACAGTGCAGCCCCTTCGGGACCATGGCCTTCTGTGGCTGGGCTCTGGGCAAAACAAAGGGACAGGACACTGGGTGCCCTGTTTCGTGCCAGAGGTGGCTGCTGTAGGAGCACAGAGTGGAGCCCAGACCCCACGGTGGCCTGTGGACCCCTTCAGGGGTGGTGGGTGTGCTACTCAGCATGGTGTGTCCCGCAGGGACCCCTGAGCTGTCCGAGGCGCAGCGCAGGGAACTGGAGAAGCAGCTCAAGGCCCGGGAGGAGCTCCTTCTGCCCATGTACTACCAGGTGGCTGTGCACTTCGCCGACCTGCACGACACACCAGGCCGCATGCAGGAGAAAGGAGTCATCATGGTGAGCCAGGGCATCAGTGGGAAGGGGCTTGGCCAGGGGGTATTGCAGTGGCAGCACGAAAGCAGGAGGCAAAGTCCCCTCCTGGGGGTCTGGGCTGCAGCTCAATGTGCCATTCCTGCCCTGCCCAGCAGAGCTGCCTTCAAATTCACTGCTGCGAGCTGTGAGTGAGCAGTTGCTGCACATCAGCTCTTCTTCTTTCTGCAAAGGCAAACCTGGGCTGTGTCCCCATTTCTACAGGACATCCTGGAGTGGAAGAATGCCCGCTCCTTCCTCTACTGGCGGCTGCGCCGGCTGCTGCTGGAGGAGGTGGTGAAGGTGGAAGTCCTGAAGGCAAACAGCGAGCTGAGCCGCATCCACATCCAGTCCATGCTGCGGCGCTGGTTCATGGAGACAGAAGGAGCTGCGAAGGTACCTCCAGCCCTGGCTTCCTGAGGCATCCGTGCGGCCACAGGCATCCCAAGGGCTGTCACACTGCTCTCCCATCACTCAGCCATTTCGTTGGTGCCTCTCTGAGGGTTTAAATGTGTGATGGGAATTACTGTTCTGCAGCCTGTGCCGGGGTGGGTGGGCGAGCAGCCCTGAGGCTGGGGCTGTCTCTTCAAATCGGGTGACCTCAGATGGATGCTGGTGCTCAGTGGTAACAAGGTGGTCCCCAAATAAACATTTTCTACAATCAGATAGGGCTTCCCAGGGCAGAAATGAGATGTGGGGTCTTTGCACTTGAGCTGCTCTCAAATGCAAGTGCCATGACACACACATCGCCATCTCAGTCCTGTGCTTGCTGAGCTGGGAAATGAGGGCATGCAAAAGAAACATGTTTTACCTTAACTTTTTGCATTTTAAACAGCCCATGAAGGTTTCCTGAGTTTCAATTTCCAGGCTGAACCTTTTACCCAGTAGCCGTTACATGGGAGTGGGGGAGTGTGCTATGCCATGCTGTGCTGTATGTGTAGGACTGAGAAGAAAAATCCCATTGCCTTGTTTTGTCATGGGAGGAAGGAAAAAGCCCGAGGTCACAGCAGAAAGGAGAGGCTCAGATTGTGCAGGCAGCAGGATCCCCATCTCATGGTGCTGCTCTCCCCAGGGCTACCTCTGGGACAACAACCAGGTGGTGGTGGAGTGGCTGGAGAAGCACATGCAAGAGGACGATGGCACCCAGTCTGCCATCTGGGAGAACATCAAGTATTTGAAACGGGACTACGTGCTCAAGCACATCCAGAGGTAAGTGGTTGTGGGAGCTGGGTTGCAAAGGGTAATGCTGTCCCCTGGGTTGGGGACAGCAGGTGGTGGAGACGAGGTGGTTCTTCCTTCAGCCTCCGAGGCAGTTGCCCTCTCCCGTCTTCTTTGCAGCTTGATCCAAGCCAACCCCGAGGTGGCCATGGACTGCGTCATCCAGATGGCTCAGCACATCACACGTGCACAGAAGGCCCAGGTTGCCCATGTCCTGTCAACAGTGGATAATGGTGGCCTATCTTGAGCCAGTGGCTGGTGGCGTGTGGGGCAGGAGAGGCACCAGGACATGCTGCTGCTCAGAGGCCAGACTTCACGTCCTCACCCAGTTCTTCAGCCCTTGAACTGAAGCCTTGGACTCTTACCTGTGTGCCTAAATAAAGGATGCCAGTGTTTGTATTTTAAGCCATGAAGATGGTCTTGCCATCCGTGCAGAGTTCTCTCTGGTGTTGGGGGTGTTCATTAGAGGGGCAGCTTGGCAGAAGATAAACAAGTCCTAAGCCAAATTTGGAGTCTGAACCTGGTGCAGAAGTTGGTTTTAAAAAGAATCTAAAATATTTTACTGTGTTTTAGCTGCAAACCCTGGCCTTAGTCTGTAAAATAAGCCCCAGTGTCAGACACGTCTCGTGAGACTGGATGAAGCTGGAAGTACAAACCAACTGGTCCAGGCACCACAGGGGAGCGGGACAAAGGAGAAGGTCTCCATACAGCCCTGTTGAGGCTGACCAGGCACCAGCACAAGGAAATGTAACCCTGCTTAAGCAGCAGTCTCAAACTGATGTTGTAAAATAAACTCAAGAACTCTGAGGAGCAGTTTGTCTCATCCTTCCCCTTGTTGGGGAGTGATCAGTAGCTGATTGCCCAGAAAAGACAACAGTGAGCTGTGCTGGGAGCTGTTGCAGCAGGAACATCAACGGATCCACCATGGTTTGACTGACCCAACTGTTCCTCTCACCTGTCTTGTGTCCTTTCTGGCTCTGGCCACAGCTCCTTCAGGAGTTTTCAGCCTGCGGCTCCTGTGGAGGATGGAGAGGAGGGAGGACACGGCTCTGGGTGCTCCTGCCTCAGCGACCCGCTTCCTCTGCTAAAGCACAGGGTGAGCCATGGTGAGCTCTCTGCCTGCTCGGACCCGTACCTTGCTTCTCAGGTGGCCTTTAATCAGTTTGGTTCACGGAGGGGAAATTTGAATATGTCTTTTCCAGTGCCTTTGGCTGTGTGGGTGCATCATTTCACCAGCACAGGTTTAGCTTTGGCTCGCAAATGGGGAGGCATGACAGTGATGGAAGGTGGGGATGCCTGGTTCGGGTGCAGTGCTGGTATTGCTGTGGTGTGGAGGTGTCGGATACCTCCTTGGTCATGCCTGGGCTGGGGAGTCCCACCAGGGTCTGTGGGGAGGTCTCCCTGTCCTGGGGGCAGGGGTGGAAAGGGTGTTATGAGATGCTTTCTGGGTTGAAAGGTATCACTGCACTTTATCGGGGAAGGGGGGGTGCTGGTGCTTGCCGTAGGGGAGCCAAACCACCACCAATAAAGTGACCACAGTTCTCAAGCAAGTTTTCCTGACCTCTCTTTCTTTTGTCATTGTATAAATGCGGTGGAGCTGAGAAGGGGCTGGTGCCTCTGCTGCTGTGCAGCCCCCTTCCTACAGCACCGAAACTGCTTTAGTTAGAGAGCAGCTCGTAGCATCCTCCTGTGAATGCCTGTCCCTAAACCAGAGCTCTTCCACGCATTTAGCTACAGGATTTTCAGGAATAGGTTGACAGCATGGAGAAACAGTTCATACAGTAAATACCTGTAAACTCTTATTTTCCTGGAGGATTTGAGCCAGGGACAAACCCTCCATTTGGACATAGTATTGTGTCTGTAAAGGCAATGAAGGCTGGGGAAAGCTGCTCTTTTGGAGATAAGCCCTTGCTTCCACTTGCAGATGGGCGCTACACGTGCTCTGTCCATGGAATTAGATGCTTTTCTGTTAGTGGTGGCATGTAAGCAAGCCTTCGAGTCAAGAGAAGGGCCCACTCCTCAGCATGCTCAGACACCACGGCTGGAGTCAAACATGTCTGAGCTTTGTCCGTTTGTCACCATCCGTAAGTTGCGTGAAACTATTTCCTCATTGGGTTGGATTTCCAGTAGCAAATGCCTCGGAATTACTGTTTAATGCTGAGCTACAGCATGCCATCTGGCAGGAGCTTGCCTGACACCAGAGTAGTTATAGTGCAGCACATCTAGAATGACCCAGGCTTAGTGCTAAGAAATATTTATTTAAAAAAATTAAGATATCATAAATGACACCAGTCACAGCAAATTATCATTAATCACATTTGTTCTTGAACAATAAATTATGACGCGGAGCATCGTGCCCTTTTGGAAGAGATTGCTGTTGACATACGCACGGGGAAGATACAGGCACAGATATTTTCTAGCCCCTGATCTTCACCACAGTGATTTTCAGGCAAGAAGGTGCCCCGCTGGGGCGGCTCCAGTGTCCTGCACCCTCCGGGTTCTCAGTACATGGACTGGTGTGGGAGAGAGGAGCCTGTGAGCACGTGGATACAATACCAGGAAAGGACAGACTGGGAAATTCTATTAATGCACAGGAACAGGCAAATCACAAGATATAAATATTACTTCATGGTCACAGAGGTATAAGTAAACTAAATGCTAAATTCCAACATACAGTTTGCTTTTTATATATTCAGATGTTTCATCACGTTTTTTGCAATGTATGTTACCAAGTATAAATCAGGGCTTGAAAATTTAAAAAAAGCTAGGTTAGAATCAATTTTACTTGGTGAAGTAGGAAAGAAAGACTATTGTGAATTGGTATGGTACAGTTACAATATTTGGTCTCTGAATTTTCTTTAAAAACCCATGAGTTTCACAGTATCAAAAGTGCTTATTTAAAAGAAATGTAGTGTAACAACAGTGACTAAAATTGTTGAATTTTTGATTATGAATAATTTAGTGGATGTAAAACAGGTTACTGCAGCATTTTAAAAAATTGAACAGTGCTCAGTTTACATAATTTTTTTCTCTTCATAACAATAAATATAAATAAATTTACAAATAGTAATACTGCCTAGCACAAGAATAGACAGAAGCACAATACACAAGACTATAAACAAATCTAATCTTCTTTTAAAAAACCCTAAAAATAGGCACAATTCCTAAAATCTTCTAGCCAGCGATCAGTTTAATAATTCAGCAGTACTGCTTCCTTCACGGGGTAAGGACTTTGTTTTTAAACCTAGATGTAACAGTTGCCTGCTACGGGTTTGACTTTTCATTTTTAGTATTTTTGCTCCATTTTTCCTACCTCATAACAATAAATTAACAATAGTTATGTCAGAACAGTGTTAGTGGTGCAAGTCTCTCCATAAACTGCCTGTGGTCTTTGTTCAATGGCAATAGTTATTTGGCAATTTAAGAAAAAAAAGGATGGTACATCATCAACCATTTTGGACTCCAACTTGGTGCTGACCAGCCCGTTGACTTGTATTGGCTTCTGCGTAGGTGGTGACCCAACAGCATCCGCATGTAAATCCAGGTCACAGTGTCAATTAAATGTGTTTACCTTAACTGGACTATTCTTAGCTCAGTTACATTCTAGTGAAAGTTCCTGCTGACTGATGCCTTCCAGGTCCTTCTTAAGAGCTCACCAGTCCTGCAACACAAGTCTCCGTGCCCATTCCTCAGTCTTGCCTTGGGTGAAAGTGGTTCTACTAGCAACAGGTTGATTTGTTTTGGCATCACATGCTGTGTCCCAGTAAATAGCCATCACGTTCCACGTGTCTGCAGGAGGAGCTCTTTTATTCCTTTCAGGTCGGATTTTAACAGTTGGGAGAAACTGGCCCCTGAGTCAGAGGTCCATGGAACGGTGCAAAACTCAGAGCAGAGCGATGGGTTTGTTGCCTTGGGTGTTCATGTACTGAGCTGCCGCTACGTTGTCCAGTGTCGTGTAAGTGGTATAAAGGCCGGTGACCTGCAAGTCTGAGAAGGAGTGATCGCTGCCACTGGAGACAGGGGTGAGGCCAGGGGTGCCCAGGTCACAGTCTGAGAGGTGGAGCGGGGAGTTGCTGAAGGCACCCAAGGTATCAAGGCTGAAGCTGTCGTCTTTCATTTCCTCCCATATGTTACCTTTAAAAGATTAAATTCTGGTCACAGCAACACATCCAACCCACCCAGGCACTGTGTGTAGGGGTCAGTCCATAACTAAAGGGCTTTACCCACTGCTTAGGACCACTGCTGCTTGCAGATGGTACCACTTGTAGGTCAAAGGCAGTAAGAGTGTCTGTTCCTCCCCAAATCCTCTGGTTCCAGCAGGAGTCCAGACCTTTCCAGGCAGCATCTATCTGCCATGTGCTGACCAGAAACCCAGGGGTCACGCTAGGCATCACCACCAGCTAGGGAAGTTCTCCGTTTACAGAGGTAGAAAACCAAGGCACAAGCAAAGCTATGGTTTTCCATGGGCAGAGAGGTGTGGTGTCCCAGATCCAGCTAGCTGGACATCCCTGCTTACATCTACTGCAGTGCCTACACGTGAACCATGGAAGGTGGTTTGCTGTCCCATCTAGCACAGGGCAGAAATGCACCAAGGAAGGCAGGGAAGTCACGCTGCAGAGGTCAGCACCCAGCACAAGTTTTCAGCTTAGTTACATCCCACCCCAGAGCATCCTGATGAGGACCCTGGTTATATATTCAGTGACTATGTAGTCATATAAACCATGCTGTCCCCTACCCCAGCTTCCTTCTCCCATACCTTGCAATGCAAAATCCATAATGCTTGGGTCAAGAGCATCCACCTCAGTGTTCATGTCTGCTGTCATGTTCAGGAAGTCCGGAGGTGCACGTCCCATGGGATGGTGGGGAAGAGGGCTGTGGCTCATGTCAGGCAGAGTATGGAGAGGAGGCGTTTGTGCTGGTGCTGGTGAGTCTGGGGCGATGCGAGCCTGGGTCTGGATCTGGTGATGCAGGGGGATGGACTGTAGTGAGAGTGTCATGATCGGCTGAGGCTGCAGCTGGGAGATGGAGATTCGGCCTTGGGCTGCTGCCATGTGGTTCAGGGTGGAGACCTCAGACTCTGCCTGTTTGCTGGCCCGCCTGCAGTTCTCAGGTCTGTCAGTGATCAGCTTGTCTAGCTCCTCTGCATGAGCAATACCCATTCCCAGGGGAGAGAAGAGACAGTTTAACCCGTTTGTTCAAGCAGGGCCCAGCCAAAGCATTTCACAAGTGAGCACAGCCACACGCTTTTGCCATAAAACTGAACAGGCAGTGTCTGTCACCATACAAGATGCAGCATAGAAAGCAGGCTTTGACTGTGCAGAGAGCAAAGAAATGCCATCTACTTCCCTACCCTTAGCCCCTACCCTAGTCAACCCCCATGGTTACCCCTAACTGAGCTAAAGAAATGATCACGTGAGACTTATACAGGGCAACCAAGCCACCACTGATGGCAGCTGGCCCACAGTTGCAGAATGAATCATCCTCAGTAGGTCTCCTGCTCATAGGGATACTCTGAATTCTGCCTGTATCTCAAATCAGATTTGTATGAGAAACTCCTGATGGTTTCAATGGCACTTTTGTTTTTAAGTAAAGGAGAACGCAATATCATTGATTGTATGTTACAGATTTTGCAGTGAAAAACTCCAGTTGATTTTGCCCATACTGAGCTCCTGAAAGCTTCAAAAACCCGTGTCTTTATAAATAAGAATGTGAAAGTTTTAGTAAAGGGAGAGTTTTGCAGAGGAGCAGGCAAAAAGCTGCATTAAAATGTGACACTATAAATACTAACACCGGAGGCAGCATAACTCCTCAGAAGGTCTTGGATGTGCTAGATAGGTTAGCATGGGGGAAAAAGACAATCCAATTTAAGGTGGGGACCAATTTCCACTGAGGCCCTCCAAAAATAGCTGTCAGTTCAGTTACCCCCTCCTGCTGTAGTGTATCGCCCTGTCATACAACCTCAGGGCAGCAGCAATGACTTCATTCAGTGCAGAGCATGGGGTATTCCAGCTGAGCAGCTCAGAGGAAGAGGCCGTTGCAAGGTGTGAGAGCTTTGCCAGCTCTGTTCCATATAACTTATTTCTTAAGATTCATGCATTCCTGGCCAAATAGCCATTTTTTCCCCTTGCCTCTCATATGCATAGTAAAAGCATAATATAAGCCCTACCTGGGTTAGCCATGCTCCTGTGAATAGCAGCTAAGTCCTTCCGCTTCCACTTCTGCATCTCCTCTTCCATCTTGTCGATCTTGGCAGGATTGAGAGCCCACAGGCACCCTTTGCGAGAGGTGCCACTCACCTTGTTCTCCACCTTCTCAAAACACTTATTCAGAGACAGGTTATGGCGCACAGAGTTCTTCCAGCCATCAGGGGCTGTCTGAAAGATGCAGAAGGATGTTAGTGAAATAAGCCATGAATAAAGTATTTATGATATTCTACTTCAAGTGTACGCATACCCTGAAGTAGGGAAAGTGCTCCTTCATGAAGCTGTAGATCTCGCTCACTGGGAGACTGCCTGTCTTGCTGTTCTTCAGCGCCATTGCAATCAAACAACTACAGGACAGAGAAAGACAGGAAATAACAGATTGCCTATACTTAGCCATCGTGCCTTCTTCTGGTCTAGCAACCTTGGACCCATCTCTTAAGACACAAACAGCTGGCTGATCATGGGATTACCATTCTCAAGCACTCAGAAGTCACCCTGTGATCCTGCAGATTTTACTCCTCTGTGCTATTACTCTACCTTTATGCTGATCTCCAGGAACTAGTTTGCTTGTTCATTCCTGCTACCCCTCAGAGGCAGCTTCCACAGAACTCCTGGGCGGATGACAGGATTTTTGTTCCCTTCAAAACGAATCAAACACTCTCATGCTACCACACCTACAGTGTTACAGTCATCCCAATGCAGGCTGTAGGCAATACGCTATTCTGCTCTCTACTCACCTATATGAATAGATTGGCTTGGGGTAATGCTTTGGATGCAGTTCTTGGGCAGAGTGAGGAGCCAGGCGTGGCTGAGAATAGTGTGGCTGAGTCCCATAGGATGTGTTGTAGATTGCTGCTGGGTTACACTGTATGCAGAAGGAAAAGAAGGAAAATGTAGGATTAGGGATATTTTATTGTTTTTCTTTTAAAAGAGTTCTAGATATGATCTTGGCAGGTACTTCGAGACACAAACGACAAGCAAATAACAGTACCTGTTGTGTGTTCTGTGCTAGGGCAAACACTTGCTGTGAATGAGGAGGAGGAAAGAGTTGTTGCTGTGTTTGTAAACCAGGAGATGGCTGCCCACCTACAGCATACTGGCTCATCTGCTGAGATAAAGATAACAGACATGTCAGTCTTGAAATTACCGACATCTTTTCCTAAGAACTGTTGCAATAATAAGCCATCGAGGCTTGTTCTTACATTTGCTCCATGTGTTGAAATAGAATTCAGTCCCAGGATTCCCTGTGGCAGGCTGGCCTGGACATGAATCATTGCTCCAGGTGCTCCTGTCGAGTGCATATTGCTTGCCACAGGACCTATTTTGGAGAAAGCAAAGGCAATGAATGTTCGCATGAAAATACACTTCAGAAAAGAGAGCTGACATTTATTTTTAATAGATGCAGTTGAACACAGCTAAGCTCTGGAGTGGATAATCACACCTCTCTGTGGTTTTCCATCCCAAAAGAACCTAGAGCATTTCACAAATTGCAAAGATGACATCAGCCGCTTCTAAAACTTGTTATGCAGGGAATGAAAGATGACAGCTGTTTAACTGTCCACAGTGGTGTAACAGACACAGTATCTTACAAAAGGAAAAAAAAACATATTCAGCACTATCTGTGCTCCAGAAGGATTTCTGCTCTAAAGCAAGCAAGATGATACGCTGAGCTCTCTCAATAGAATGCCTTAGGGAACAAGTGTGTTTACCCAAAGGATGTTCACAAAGGAAAGAAAGGCATTCAGTGAACATATGCTGTAAGTCTGTATGAAGCAAACAGGTATGGGGTAAATGAGGTACTCTTAATTTTATCGATGTTGAAACAAACAAGAAAGACTAATTACCTAATTTCAAAGCTGTTGAAAACCTCTGAAATGCAAGTCTTAAATACCTTGGCCCATGTTCACACAACAAGGCACCAGCAACTACGCTGAGCAGAAAAGCCAACTGGATCCTGAGATCTCTGTTGCCACTGCTAGGGCACTGTGCCTCTTGAAATGAAGGAAATGTATCAGCAATAGCCTTATTGGAAGACAACAGGCTCCAGGTCTTCTGACAGGAAGTGAAATGTAATGCATTTAAAAGGAATCTACTAATAGGAAAGCTACTCTTTGTGGGGCAAAGAAAGGAGGCAGTAGGCTGTGTCACTTACATGGCAGTTATTTAACATCCTAACAGTTTACCTGTCTGTTGTAGCATTGCATTCTGGGCACCAAGACTAAAATCCATTCTTCCACTGGCCATCTGTTGTAACCGAGGAACATCAACAGACGTCAGCCACGACAAGGACTGTAAGTCACTGGGGAGATCATCTTCACTCAGCTGGGAAGGGTCAGAAGCTAAGAGTCTGCAAAATACCATGAAAGGTTAGCAGAGAGTGGAGATGCTGCTACACTGTCCCTGGTAAGAGGGGAGATGACTGGGATGTTGAAGCTTATGTAGATCACTGGGGAAAACCTGTCAGGCTGGAATTCCGTTTGCAGAACTCAGATGCGACCTTTGGTTTCACAGCTGGCTGGTTACTACTGCCCTTTACCTAATCAAGTGGTCCTTCATACGATTTGAAACATTTTGGTTAAGAAAACTTCTTGTGCAGTATTTGTAGGGGAAGAAGGCATAAGAACCCGGAAGAGAAACTGCCTAGAAACAAAACCAAAGCTGATTCATTATTTTCATATTTGTCAGAAATTTGCACTCGTTGGCCTTGATGTAGAAGAAACCTGTCGGGACTTTTAACCTGACAATTTTGCATTAACCTTGAAATCCAGTGACCAGCCAGCCTTGGAAGGAGTTCCTGTGCTTAGCTCCTCAAGGACCTGTGTATGCTGCTGGCTGGAACACTTGGAGAGGTCTTTTCCCAGCCACTGCATCCCATTGGTGGGGACAGATCAGCGGAGAGTTGCTGCATAAACAAAACTTTACAGATTGATCTCTTCCATTCAGATACATGAAGTGACTGATATTTAACAAGGAACCATGAAGCATATGAAACAATTTCTTAGGCAGATTTTGACATACTAAATGATCGGAAAGAAAAGCTAGTGACTGGATGCACAACACCACCCAGCCTGCCTGTAGCTGACAAAACCAAGGTGTAATGATGACAGGCTGCTTTTGGTATAAAGCTCTGTTTTTGATACATTCTGCATGCTCCATCCCACCTGGTTTGTTTTGCTTCTGATAGAGTGCATGGTACAAAACTGAAATATTGGAATATATTTACAGTACTCAAAAATTCCTGTGTGGTCAAAACTCCAGGTAAAGTCAAATGAAGGGCTAAACTACTTTTACTTATGTTAAACAATATTGAAGAATTCATGGGTATCTTGAGGAATAAAGCAGTAATTAGAACCTGTCAGGAAGTTATCATTAGATACCCAGGGTAAATCCAAAGGGATTCAGATCCGGGAAAACATCTTTCTCTTTCAGAAGAACATAGTTTAGTTGGATGTAGTTGATTTTGCTTTCAAAACAAAGGCTTTAAAGAGCTCTCTCATAAATATGTTAAAGCCAGCTGCGTGGTACTAATGCGTGTTCATTGCCAAATGACAACGCAGAAGCCTTAAATAAATCTGGTCTCTTGCTGAAGCATCTTTTATGTTTTACACGATTCTAAATCAGCTTAAAAGACCAAGGCAGAACTCTAGTGCCTGGCTGCCCAGGAGCTTTCAGCTCCTCTATTCATGATTTCCAGAAACACATATCAAAGTTCCCTAAACTATTATCTGGGAGATCTTTAAAGCAGAATGTAATTTATTTGTTTGTAAAAAGATTTTGAAAAGAAGAAAAGGGGAAAAAAAACAACACCTGACCAGAAGCCAAAAGCTCAAATCCTGGCCAAAAAACATCTTCAAATCTCTCTCCCAGCCTACCCTGTTTTCTTTCTCCTACTGTAGTTATAGTGCAATAATTAGCATTGCCATGGTTACCGCTGTTCAGTTATTTTGTGAGGCCTGGGACTTAAATACATAAAAAGACTATCAGGTGACGGCTCTCTGGGCCTGGAGATTGGCTGGATTGGAAGTAAACAAGAGCATTAAATGATTTGAAAACTGGGCAGGCTCATGTCGTTTGCAACAGTTGGGCCCATTCATGGGAAGCTGATAACCCATTGTGCAGCCAACGACTGCTGCCCGGTGGCACGTGGCCTCGATTGTTTTTGAGATTCTTGCTTAATTGTTCCCCCCCCTCCTCTTTTTTACAAACTTCACATTAATCTGGCTGAATGACAGCCGACACACAACACACATCCACATGCCATCTGGCACCCCGGTCCCTGCCAGTCCTCTCAGACAAGTCAGCTCCTTCAACAAATAACGGGGTCAGATGGGCGGCGAGGGTCAGCACCCACTGCACACGCCTCCTGTCAGGCAATGAATCCGCCACATGCCCTCGCTGCTCCTCCGCATGGGACGAGCATCTCTGCACCGGAGGACCGTGGGAGTCACAGTGGTGCTCAGCAGCCTTCCTGGCTTTAGCTTTTTGGGAAACAAAGGCCCCTGCTTCACACTCACCCTAGGTGCACTCATCCTGGTGCTCTTTCTAGTTGTGGGAATGACTGGCGATGCCCTGGGTGCAGTTGGATGCCATCAGAAGCTTGAACCACAAATCTCCTACTTGCCAGTTAGCATCGCGCAGCGTACCCCTCTCAGCATCCTTGTGGTGCAGACCCACGCAGCTCCCTGCCTCTCGCACTAATGCTGTGGATCCAAATGAGGGCAAGGAAGGTGACCGAACATTTAAGTTGGCATAACATCCATTAGGCTCTATTTTAAACAGATACAAAGATGTGATAATATATAATAACTAGACAAGTGTGCAAGCCAGCTCTTTTTCCAAGGCAAAGATGTTTCCTTCCCTTCCCCATCCTAGTATGGCAGGGCTGTTTGAATTTGAGTTTACAGTTCTTTTAAAATCACCTCTGGCTGTTCACTTACATTTTATCTTTTTTTTTATGGATTTGTTGGTTGTCAGAATAACTGTTTTCATTAATAGTGGGGGGAAAAAGTGTATTTAATCAGAATAAAATATTTCACATTTAAGGATTATTCTTCAGGATGCCTTCAAAACCAATGTTGAAATTTCATATGTCTTATAGAAGGTGAAACCACTTTAAGTATGCCCATCGCTGTCTGACTGAGGTGTTTTAAATGCCCAGATATATTCTGCAGCATAAAACCAGTTTATCTCACAGTACACAGGCTCAATGTGTGTCCTGCTTTTAGTGAAAAAATGCTAATCTAACTGCCTCTGGAAAGAGAGCTATGCATAGTAATACCTAACACTTTAATCTCATAGGGTTCAATCTTTCTGACCTGAAAAATTGCCTGTGTCAAGCCAACTACAAATACATAAGTACGTACTGTAATATCGTGTGTACTTTGATTCTGTTCCCCTCCACCACCCTTTTCATCTCACGTTTGAGGGTAAACTTCAGGAGTCAGAGATCCTGTCTTTAGATGGGTGTTCACAGCCCCTGGCACAATGGGGCCCTGTAGTAAAAGCAGCCATTTCCTTTCAATGCATGTAAATGAGATAAATAGTGATACGCTGTAATTAATGCACACTACTGAAAATGTCTCCAGCTGCACATTCCCCAGGGCTGGCTGGTATAGACGATGAACTACTAAACCCCTATGAAGAAAAGGTTACAGTCACACCAAATGTGTTGCAAACATGATATTATTTTTAAAGGTGTGGTGAAATTATGCAACTCTACTTTTACCCCTCTCCTTTCAAACCTCTGCAGGAAAACACCCTTCTGTTTCTATGTGTTTCTACCCTAGAAAGGCACCTGCATTAGTAAGAATCCACATAATGATGAGGATTTAAGCCCCAGTTCTCCTCTATATATCAGAGGATGCTGGCCTCCTGTGAAAAGTGCTCTGAGAGCTATGGTAGGTATGATACAGAAATGCTCAGTGGTAGCATTAATCTTTGCTATCTGCTCTACCATGTGCTGCCCAAAATATTTATCCAATCAGGGCAATAGATCTTGGCCACCAGCCAGCCCGCACAAAGTTTACTTTTCCAGAATCAGGAAAAATACCCCTTGGAATAAAACCCCTTTCCAGATCTCTCGATACTGAGCTCCAGACCTTCCTGCCTGCAGTAATGGACAAATTGGACGCCTGCATTGGTTGCACATCTGACAAAGCTCACTAGAGCCTGTCAGCAGTGCAAAATCATCTGTTAGATGTACCTAAAGATATCTCTACTTCCCCCCCCCCCTCCATCAAGTACATCCTGCAGGCACAACAGCTAGCAGGATGGAATGAAATTCATTCCTGGCATAACTTTGTGGGAATCTGCAACTAACATCAGAGTTGAATTTGAATCTATATTCATAGATCTAACTTTACTACCTTCCTCACATTGAGCTGTTCTAATGAGCTGGATCTGAGGTAGTTCATCACCACAGAAACCGCTGTCAAGGTGAACTATCCACTTCTACATTTGCAAATGCCATAGTATGGTGAACTTGTCACTGCAGACTATAGGGACCATCTCTTCAACAGCATTCTAGAATAGTCTGTCAAACAAGTTTGTTAAGACTAAAGGAAAGCTTGGCAATGACAAGCATACTTTAAGGTGTTTTATCTCCAGATAGTTTGGCCAATAACTGGGGATTCCAGTTTATGATTTGATGCGCAGAGTTACATATTTCTATGCGTACTGCACCATTCACACTGCATTGGACTCTGTCTGCTTGTTTGCTCTGGAGTCTGTCCCTAAAAGATATAAAGCACTCAAACTGGTTGATGTTGTAGGGCAAATCCAATGCTACAGGTTCTCTCAAAGGGATTAGTGTGTGGTGGCAACTCATCATTGCCTCCATTCTAAACAAAGTCAGACCAAACCATTTTGGTTGCATTTGGCATATTCACCTTCAACCATAGTTTTAAGATGTCTCTCACTCGATGGACAATTTTTATTACCATTGCCAGCACTGACATCTGAGCTTTTTGCCTATGCTTAAGTAATACAAATAGAAGCAATCAGGGGTGATAGTTTCTTAACTAGCTGTTTGCAATGGTTTATCCAGTGGGAGTGAAAATTGAACACAAGTCCTAAGAAAACCTCTTCTTGAAGTGGTGATGAGAAACTGTTTTCTTTTGTCTGGGATTAGGTTATGTCCTCAGTGCAAATACAGTGATTTCTCATATGTAAGCTGACACAAGGAAAATATTTGTGTTTTGTGACTCTTCAGCTGTCTCCATGGTGAGGAGTATTCTCCATTTTATTGAAGGAGTCAGCTTCACTGTCTCCTTTTGCTCCTCACTCCATCTGTTCTTTCCTCTATGTACTTCTCTTCCCACCTTTCTCCCTTACAGGTGCTTTTCCCTG